TCTTTATCAGAAGCAGCAACACAGGCCAACAAGCAGATGGTTGGCAAGAAGAGCTGGTTTTTAAACTGGCTCCCCTCACAGACTAACTCCCGCCAGGCACCCTGTACTGCTGGCAGCCCCACCCCGAAGGACTACAGACTAGTCAACTAACCGATAAGGATTCATGAGGTTACACGACTATTCAATTAACTGATATTTAATATCCCTAGTCCCTAGGTGCCTTTGCAGACACCTTAGCTCTGGAGCAGCAACACAGCTTATGTTAGTCTAGCTTGGAGCCCTCACTATCTTCTCCAAGTGCATTAGGAGTTTCAGCTCCTATGCCTGTCCCCAACTACCACATGCATGGGGGTTTGCCACTCTGCTCCCCTGAGTCCCAATACTGCTCTCACTGCCAGAAACTAGCAAGAAGCAGGAAGGGAAAGGAAAAGAGCCACTGGCCAGGGTACTGCTGGAGGCGCCAAACAAAAAGGAGAGAAAACCCCTTCTCATGCAGCTCTGACACATGGCGAGATCTATCCACTGTGAAGCTCTTCGGAAAAGGGAAGAGAACAACTTCTGCTCTGACAGAATGCGCTGCTGCACAGCAAGAGGAAGTGACTGGCCTCAGCTCACCCACCAATCTCTGGTAAAGCTAAGAAGAGAACCCAAGCGTGCTGTCTCCCAGCCCCCCTGCGCTAAATACCAGCACCCCACTCCCTTTGTAGAGCTTGGTAGAGGAGTCCTGGCTCCTAGCCCTCTCCCCCCAGGTCTGACCCACCCCAAACCTCCCTCTCCCCACCCAGAGCCAGGGAGAGACCCTGGGTATCTTGGCTACCAGCCCCCACTCCTCTCATAGAGCCAGGGAGAGAATCTAGGAGTCCTGGCTCCAAGCCCCCCGCTCTAACCCACAAACCCCACTCTCCTCCCAGAGCTAGGGAGAACTAGGAGACCTGGCTTACTCTCCACTGAATCAGACCAATGTTACATTAATGGATGTGTTACTTGTAGCAACAGGACATAAAATAGGCTGGAAACATGATGAATGTGACCGTGTTCCTTTCAGAATAGCCATCAGGGCCTTCTCCTCCGTCCCTCCTGCTCAGCCTTGCCACTCTCAGCACTTCCCAGAACAGGCTTTGTGTGCAATTCTGAGCCCAGCCACCCCCAAGGGGCCACATCCTACAGCCTGCGTGAGCGTCATCTACTCAGGCCCAAGGCCTGAGGATCAGGGCCCAAGAGCCCTCAGCACAAACGGGGCAAGAGTTATGCAAAGCAGCCACATGGGAAGCAGCTGAGGAGGAGTATTGTAAACAAAGCCAACAGCAAATCACATAGGCCCACAAAATCTGCTCTGGTCCTATAGGGCCACGGGCCTCACTCTGCTAGATTGAATGGGGTGCTCCCCACAAAGCAAGGCATCACTTGGCGATACCCTCCTGTGCCTCGCTCAACCCCTCAACTCTACCCCTGGCCGCCCACAGGACTGCCCCAGACATCCTCTCTGCATTTCCACCTCCCTCCAATGCATCTTAAATCCAGACCCATTCAAGCCACCCAAGCGACTAGCCTAGGGAAGAGAAAGGATAGTCCGGTGGGACAAGGACTGGTGTGGGAATTCAAAACAAGGAGGTTCAATACCTGCTTGATCACGGGAAATCCCTTTACCTGCTAGTGGCACAGTATGGCCCCAATCTCAGGATCTCCATAACACCTCTCTCCAACCCAGTTCAGCCAATAAATAATCCACAAAGTCACATATTTTGGAGTTGTTTCACTTCCAGGCGACCCAACGTTTGCACATTGATTTGTTCGCACAAGAAGCTTGTCTGATGCTTGTCTAACCAAATTCACACCTCTCTCATACTAAGCAAAGTTGGGGGTCTCGCTAGGATGAGGCACCTGTTGGGAACAAGACCAGGGCCAGCTCCATATTAGAAAAAGTTCAGAAAAAAAGCAACAAAAATGATCAGGGGTTTGGAACAGGTGCCATTGAGGAGAGGTCAATAAAATAGGAACTTTTCAGCTGGGGAAAGAGGAGACTAAGGGGGATATGATACAGGTATTTAAAATCATGGCCGGTGTATTGAAAGGAAGGGTCACCAAATGAAATTAATAGGTAGCCGGTTGTAAATAAACCAAAAGCAGTATTTCTTCAGAAAACACAGTCAGTCTGTGGAACTCCCTGCCAGAGGATGTTAGTCTAACCAGGTTCAAAACATAACTCGATACATTCATGGAGGCTATTAGCCAGGCTGGACGGGGAACAGGTGACGGGGAGGGATCACTTGATGGTCCCTGTTCTGTGCATTCCCTCTGGTGCGCCCTGCTGCTGTGGGAGGCAGTGGTGTTGCTGAACGGCGCAGTTCAATGGGGCTCAAAGGGCCGCTCTGTGCCTGGCAGCTCCGGGGACCGGAGGCCGGCAGGGCTCACACAGGGAAAGGCAGCCAAGGGGGTGTGGGAGCTGCTGCACACTGCTCGCCCCAGGGCTGCAGACCAGGCTGGGCAGGGGAGGGGAGGTGCTGACAGGGGAGATGCTGGGG